TGCGCAGTTTTCTCTAAAATATTAGAACACAGTATTATGGTTATTTATTTATGGCTTGTATCTTGCCTAATTTCAGAAAATATTTTTTATGGTTTATAGTTTTTATATATATAAAACAAGGGGTAGAATATAGTATAAGCAAAGACTTCAAACCAGAAGCCACCCAGGCTTTTCAAGCTTGACGATACTCCATTGACTTTAAAGCTTTAAGTCTAAGGGAGGATACTGCCCATTTTTCTCTGGAGTAGTGGTTGGTGAATTAAGGCCATTTCCCTTTTGTTTAACAGCCCAACAAAAAACTCACCAAATCACCAGGGCTCCTTATCAACAAGTTGTTATTGTTGTTGTTGTTATTGTTATGTGTTGTTGAGTGGGAACTGACTCCTGGTTGACCCTCCTCTGGGTTTTCAGAGGCAGAAAAGTTGGGAGGATTTTGCCATCTTTCTTCCACTGAGCAAGCTCCATGCCTTTGAGCTACCAGCTCCCTCCCAGTAAGTCACCAGAGCTCCCTATTAACAAGTTAGACTGAGCTCCACAATTAAAAAGGAATTAAATACCCAGAATGTATCCATTCTCTGATAGTCTTAAAACATCGAGTAAGAATCCACTTTTTTCTTATTTCTATATCCCAACAAAAATTAAGTTATGGTGTAGATCTTTGATCAAAAGACACCATATCTCAAAACAAATTGGTTTCAATTGTGTGTCTTTTTTCTTTTTTTCAATTGTGTTTTTATAGATTTGTAAATAATACTATAGAAATCTGATAAATAATAGCAATGCTATAGCCACATATCAGCTAAAAAAAGTATCAAAACTTTAATTAATTCATATATGTTTTTAAATTTACTTTTAAGTCATTGAAAGTCAAAGTATATGAGCCCAAAACCTTGATCTGTGTTTACCAAGATATCCATATTTAATATTGAGTTGGATATTTACTTTCTTATTTCTGTTTATTTTTCTGATATTCATCTTTTTTTTGTCAATGGATTGGAAGAGGTCCATTTTTTTTTAATTTTTTTTAAAATAGCATTCAGTTTATTATAAATATTTAGTATTGGCTTCCCATATTTCCCCCCTTTTGTTTTTATCATAATTATGTTATCATCTAGTAATATTCATCTTTTTTTTTCATTGAGTTTCCCCCCCCTTTCTCTGGATATTTTTAAGGCAAAATCAGCTAAGGCATTTGAGAGTTTATAAGGCTTACGTGTTCCCTCTTCATTATCTAAGACTCCTATTATAATATCACACAGGAAGATGTCAAATTTCCATTTGTCACTGTGATGAACAGTTCTGCTCAGTCTTATCAGTTATATGTTCCTTCCTGCTCCAATTCTTTTCTGATACCAACTGCAAATATAGTACCCCTTCCTCTGGTCCTGAATATCCAAGGCTAGATCAGAGCTCACAGCTAACAGGCCACAGCCATCTAAGCTGCTTTATCTGCTTAAGTCTGCAAACACCAACCACAAGGCTGATGGTACCACAGCATCCTCACTTCTGGATTGGTGACTTTCACCTGAAAACAACTGTCTTAGGGTAGAGAAAATATTGTAATAACTGTAAAGCTCATAGGAAATGCTATATATATATATTTATGATTACATTACATCAGAAATATTCCAACAAATAGACACATAGTGTAATGTCATAGAGGATTGCCAATATGAAACCTTCGATCCTCCACATGGGATATACTACTCTCCCATATACAGTCATTCTTTTTTTTTTTCCTTTACCAATCAGAAAGCCCATACAGCTTCTATATTCCCTGCCCTCTCTTCTCTAAAATTAGCTGATATTGTGTGGTGGTCTTTTCTGGCCTATCCATCCCTAAGCCATAAGCCTCAGAAGCGGTCAGGAATCTTCAACAAAGCACTTTAGACATGAGGGAAATTCCAAGGTTTTTAGAGATTCTCTCTCAGGAATTGAAGACAATGAACAAAATATTTGCATACAGTTAAGGTAAAAGCCCACAAGTTTATTATTAGTTCTCTGTCAATTTCTAGAACTTCATCAGTTTTTCACTTTCTTCATTTTTATTTGCTTATGTTATGAAACATGATAATATAAGGAGACAGGGAGAGAAAATGAGGAATGAGGATATTTTCTCAGCTTATTTTATCAAACCAGAAGACTGTGTGACAACCCTTCAGCTGTTTGGCAGACAAAGTTTTAAACCTCTGTAATTTTGCAATTTGTAGGGAGAAGAGTCATTGTCATTACACAGTATGAATGGAATGTCATTTCTGGTACCACCAGCGTGTAGCTTGAGAAGAGATTTGACTTTGTTTCAGCTTTCTAATTTTCTTTAACTCTACATTTCATTTATAAGCCTTGAAAATATTAATGAGAAGACATTAAAGAGGGTAAACATCTTTAGCCATAGTCTTAAATTTTTGGTCTTGATTGGAAAAGTCAAGATAATATAATTTTTTATTAGAGATTTACATAATTTCCTAAATGGGTGATGTTTTAATAACATCAGGTTGTAATTACAGGTAAGTGTGACCAAATATGTCTGATTCCATTAAAAAGCTTTTCTTGAGAGTGGAGACAATCTTCCCAATTCATATTTTCTGTCAAAGTAATTTTGTCACAATAGTGTCAAGTTCAGGCTGCACCTGACCTAAGCTAGATGTCACTAAACAGATATTTAGTCTACATTTCAAAACCCTGACAAAAAACAAAACAGAAAAAGTCATATCTAATTATTTTGGATATATTTTAAAGTATATTTTCAATAAGTTAAATAATGTTAAGTATAATAAATATAACTTGTTACTTGATATGAATTTGAATCAGTATGGCTAGCCAGTCTTTTCTTTATGGGAAATTCATTTTTTATTGATTTAAAAGAACTCAAAACTCTCAGGCTTTAAACATTAAAGAAATTTACTTTTTAAATAGATGGTTTCTTGATAACAAATTATTCCAACCTTTTGAGTGAATGATTAACAAGTAACACATTTTCCTTGTAGATAACTTAATAAATGTCAGATGAGAATCTTCTGGTCAATGAGAAATCTGTTCCAGGGAGCTGTAAGGATGAGGAAGAAAAATCGCTAGGTTCCTCAGAGATTCTGGGTACTCCTACAGCTTTATTTGCTTTGAATAATGAATGGTTCAACTCTCTAAATTAATCATAAAGCTAAAGGTACAAACCTAAGTGTTTTCTACATCTCCTCGGAGATTCTAATAAACATGACGTTAGAAAAAGGGTTCCGTGACCATTTGGTTTTGAATGCTTTCCACACCACTGAACATGCTTCAGTGAAGCTTCTCGACATGAATTGGAATTGATTTCATGGCAACTGGTTCCCGACTGAGACTCTCTGCCCCATTTCCCTGCAAATCTAAAATTGTTCTTTAAAAAAAAGTCTTTCAAGTTTTAAAAAGTGACATTGATATGGCATGTGATGCTTTATGTGAAATTTTCTATTTATAGTATTCACTCTCCACACAACATAGGTTGGACTGGGTAAGAATATGGAAAGTTAAGCTTCTTTGAAGGGAAAAGACAAGGTCTTGAGGGTTGTAAAAAATAAGATGCGGAGCCAAAAGACCAGTGAACTGTGTGAGCCAGAGGCTCTCTATCAATAAAAACCTATACTGCTGGCAACAGCTTTCTAAAACTAGATAATTACTCACTTCTCGTCAACTCCATCTCTAAACTTAGCAGCAGTGAACATAAAAGAAGGATGTACAGTGTCTGCCATGCATTTAGCAGGTGCAAAGCACCTACTCCACAACCAGCTCAGCCTTTGGTATGGTTCATAGCTGCTTGATTGCTGCTGAAGATTTAACCTTTCTAGTTTTTGGTTTGTTTTTTTTTTTTCTTTTTTCTGGTTTTGGTGTGTGTGTTTTTTTTTTCAATTTTATATTTTTTTTGGTGTAGAAGAAATGATCCATAATTTATCTGTTACAACTATTGTGAAATTTGGTGGTCTGCTAGGAGGTCTTGATTGCTATAAATATTTCTAATCTCCTCAAATATTTTTTCTTATTAATTTTAATGAAAGTTTACAGAGACTTAGGATTTCCAGTCATTCACTCTTCTTGAAAAGAAGAAGAAAAACTCTTTATTTGTTATGCAATCCCTCCCCACAAGTCCACTCCATATGCAGCCTTCACTCTGGACTTCTGTAATGGCAAGAATACCCATTCATATGTCCCTTTTAAATAGTTCTGTCCCTCATCTGTTTCAATGCAGTATACATCATTCCTCCCCTCCTTTTGTGCCTTCCCTCAACCCTGGTGTCAGTCCTGTTTTGGTTTTGTATGAAACAATACCAGAAAGTAGTACTTACGTTCAATACTATATTTCTATCCTGTCTCTATACTTGCGATAATGAACAATGTCTACAGACAGGAGCTCAGAAAATGTGGTTGAAAAAAATAAAGCCAAAATGCCTTCTTTCTAATTCACACACACACACACACAAAAATCATATCCGCTGCTAGTCTGAATGAAACACCATAAACTGAAAGGACTAATACATTGGGCATTGCCTTTTCCCCGATGTTTTTTGAGAGGTGTGTGTTTAATAGAGTCGTATTTACAGTGGGGTCCAGTGGGCAATCTCTTCCCTATGCAATTTACAACTTCTGAAAACCCTCTGGAGAGTCTGGAGGGGCAGCTGTGACAGCACATAACAGCAACAACAGTGCACGATAAATATTCAAGACCACATGTCAGTGAAGATAGTGATATGTGTCCTTAAATGGCATAAAAAAAATAAACTTTAAAAGGAGCACATATAGACTGACACTGATTTCTATATGAAAACAATAAATATGCCGCCAAAAGTATGTAAACCCCAAGATCTTATCAGTGTGTATCTCTTGATATTATTAATGGTTTATTGAATGTGTTTCTTTAACCAGTCTGCTGAGTTTGATATAAATCTGCCCTATTTTGGCACTACAAGTATTAGGTCATGATGGCTACCATTTTTCCACTTTTCACAGGAGACATCACAGGGCGTTAAAGGATGGCTGATGATCGGAAAGACGAAGCAAAGGCGCCTCACTGGACCTCATCTCAACTAACAGAGGCATCTGGGCACCCACATCCTCCTGAGATTAAGGACCAAGGTGGGGCAGGGGATGGGCTTGTCCGAAGCGCTAATGGATTCCCGTACAGAGAGGATGAAGAAGGTGCCTTTGGTGAGCACGGACCACAGGGCACCTATTCAAATACCAAAGAGAATGGGATCAATGGAGAGCTGACCTCAGCAGACAGAGAAACAGCAGGTAACTAAGGATCCCTCTGTTACAAGGGTTTCCTTTGTGCTTTGAAGTTAGTTTAGTCTGAAAGTGAATTAATTGACAACACTGGTCCTCTTTCACCAGTGCTAGAGCTTGACTCCTAGCAGGCAGGGGAAACAGAATGGAGGCAAAAATCAATCAGGAGGACGAGCTTGACTTTCCCCAAATTGCATGTATACACTTGATCCCATCTTCCTAGTTAATTTTTCCTTTTTCACTGTAACAGACAAATGTTTTATATATCTGCTGTGCTAGAAACTGTCAACATTTTAACTCATTTTAAGAAAATTTAAGAAATGTCTTCTTTGTGTTTCTCATGAATAAATTGGACCTAAATCCTTTTGATGGATTAGAAACCTGCTTACTTGTTAGGGTAATAAGGCAAACATTCCCCCTCCCCCCAGTGACAAAAGCAAGGTTTAGATCTGTATTCACAGGGTTGCTGTGAGTCCTGGGCAGCTCCGTGGCACATAACAACAATAACAACAAGGAAAGGAGGAAAAAGAGGAAGAAAAAGGAAGGGATGAGAAGAGGCAGAGATGCCCTTACCCAGGAGCCACTTTTTACTATCTGCAATGGCTCTCTAAAAAAACTCATAGACTTTAAAGAAGTCCTTTTACTTTTGTATATTTCCTTCCAGAACATAATCAGTATTCCCCTTTAATCGTTAAGGTGGCTAATAGCATGACTGACGCAGCATTCTACCCTCTAGAATGATTCTCCATTGTTTGTCCCTTTCTGAAGGTCTAAAGTCTTCGTAGTTGATTGAACCCAGGAATTTACATACATAAACCAAGCAAGTTGATCCTGACGTGGGAGTGGCCCTGCTGTGTAGAAGAAATGGGCCCATAGGATTCCCAAAGCTCAAAACCTTTTCAGAAGCAGACTGCCTATCTTCACGCTAAGCATTCACGATCCAACCACATGGTACTTACTGCCCCTAAAAGTGTAAATAAATGAAAAACAAAAGATAAAGTCCTTCTTCAAAATCATTCCCCACTAATTCTGTATCCATTAGTTAGTCAATGAGACGTTCTTTCAACAATATATTTATATTTTGATAAGAAAATAGGGGAAACCTTTCCAGTAACTGGAGAGAAGCTCAGGTAGCCTAGTGAGAAGTTGTGCTGCCAAAACAAGGGTGAGAGGTTAGAAGTTACAGGCTGTTCCTTGGAAGGATGTGCAGCCCCCTCGAAGGCATTTCACAGCCTCTGAAAACCTCATGGAGAGTCTTCTATGAATAGGTTTCGACTTGATAGCCCACAACAACATAGCAAATGGAAATTACTTAGATACAGAGTGTTATGTACCATCCAGTCTGAACCAACTCAAAGGTGACCTTCCAACAGGTTTTTAGAGGTAGTTAATCACACAGGAGGAGATTGTCCATCTTTCTCACACAGAACAGCTGGAGGATTAGAACTGCAGCCTCTGGGTTGGCAGTGTAGTTCCTTACCCCTAGGCCACCAGTGCTCCCTAAGCAAACAGGGGTGTTTTTTGTGTGCGTATTTGTTTGCATACGATAATTTATATGCATTGTGTTTTATTCATGTACATTGTGTTTTATGCAATCTTTAATTTATATTGCACAATTTTTAAGTCTATTCACTCAATATCAGAAAGCTGGACAATGACTAGGGAGGATAGAAGAAGAATTGATGTCTTTGAGCTGTGGTACTGGAGACGAATATTGAATATACCATAGACTGCTAGGAGAACAAACAGGTTCATCCTAGAGAGGTTGAGAGACCAGGCTGCTCCTTGGAGACAAGGATTCTGAAGCTTCATCTGACATACTTTGGACATGTTGCAAGGAGGGTCCAATCCTTGGAGACGGACGTCATGCTTGGGAGGGTGGAGAGACAGTGCAGGAGAGGAAGATCCTCAATGAGATGGATTGATTCAATGACTAGGGTAATGGGGGTAGGTGCGTCAGAAACAGTAATATTGGCACAGAATAGGGCAGGGTTTAGGGCTAATGTACTTAGGGTCACTAAGAGTCACAGGCAACTTGACGGCGCATAACAACAACATTCATTCAAAAATGTATTTAACATTTTGCTTAAACCAAGTAACAAGTTATGCTCTGTGGCTCTGTGTGTGTGTGTGTGTTAAGATACTTTGACTGCTAATAGCACAAGTTAGACCTTGTACAGAATTCATTGTAATACAGAGCACACTGTTTTTAGGTGCCAAAATGAAGACTATAGAAAGGCAGAATTAAGGAGAAGTTATTTCTGGATAAGACCACATTTCCCAAATACTGCACAGAAGCACTTTGGGGTGCCAGCACACATGCACAAGGGTGCCATGGGAAATTTGAAATACTTAACAGGAAACACAGTGATGCTCAACATCTGTCAAACACTGCATGGGCTATTAGCTCACGATCCTTCACAGCTTCAACATTAGATCATGCTGCATTCCTTTTGCAGATGCCATGCCTTTGTCAAGTTGAGTTTTAGCAGTTGCTATAATAAAAAGAAAACCCTATGCAGAAATCGGTGTGAAATAAGGAATGAGGGTAGAGCCATCCAGTCTGGATTCCAGGCCATGAGAAGGTCCAAAGTCTGCATGCCCCAAAGAGAAAGTAAGACAATACAGTCTATAAAGTGACAAGCTCAAGAAATGACAGCTTTTAATTACCCTTATGATCATTATTTGTTGTTGTTGTTTTGTACTGTCAAGCTGACTACAGCAGCAACCCAGTAAACAATAGAACTGAACCTTCCCCTTTTACCCTGTTCCCTCACCAGTGCACCATCTTCACAATCTCTGACGTGTTCAAGTCCATTGTGACAATCACGGTATCAGTCCAAGTTGTGGAGGGTCTTCCCACTGTCTCTGACTCTCCACTTTCTCGGCATGATATCTTTTTCCAAGAACTGGCCTCTCATAACAACATGCCCAAAATATTGAAATGAGCTTTTATCATCCTTACTCTTGGTACCAGCAGTTAGGAAATTAAAAGACTAATTGCATTGGGAAAGTCTGCTGTCAGAGACCTCTCCAAAATACTTAGGAGCACCGATGTCAGTCTGGAGACTAAGCTGTGCCTGATACAGGCCATGGTCTTTGCAATTAATTGGTATGCATCAGAGGGCTCAACAATGACTAGGGATGAGAGAAGGAGAGTTTATGCCATTGAGCTGTGGTGCTGGAGAAGAGTATTGAATATACCATGGACTGCTGGTAGAAGAAACAAGTTCATCCTGGAGAGGGTGAAGACAGGCTGCTCCTTGAAGGCAAGGATTCTGAAGCTTTGTCTGACATCCTTTGGGCATGTCCCAAGGTGGGAGCAGACCTTGGAGAGGTACATCATGCTTGGGAGGGTGGAGAGGCAGCGCAGGAGAGGAAATCCCTCAATGAGATGGATTGATTCAGTGACTGGGGTAATGCAGGTAGATGTGTCAGAGACAATAAGATTGACAAAGGATAGAGCAGGGTTTACGGCTGTTGTACATAGGGTTGCTATGAGTCACAGGCAGCTCGACAGCACATAACAACAACAAAGAACAACCTCTGAGAAACACCTTGATTGTATGTCCTTCATCACAGATTAGTTTGTACTTTTGGTAGGACACTCAGTGCTCTTCACCAGCATCACATTTCAGAGGCATTGATGACTCTTTGATTTTCCTTATTCATTGTTCAACATTTAGATGCACAGGAAGCAATTGAAAATACCATGGCTTGGATCAGGTACATCTTAGTCCTTAACTTGATGTTATTGCTCTTTAGCATTTTGAAGAGGTCCTTGATAACAGGGTTCCCCAGTGTAACACATCTTTTGATTTCTTGACTGCTGCTACTACGGTATTGATTGTGGATCAAAGTAAATAAAATTAAATAGTTGACAACTTCAGTCTTTTTTCCATCTATCCTGATACTGATTTTTGGTAAGTATTTTTGTTTAATTAATGTTGAGACTTGACTCATATTGAAGCTGTGATTTTTTATAATCTGCAGTGAGTGATTCAATTCTATTCTACCAGCAAGGCTGTATTATCTGCATAACACAAGTTGTTAATGAGTCTTCCTACAATCTTAATGCCACATACGTCTTTGTATAGCCCACCTTGTCAAATTATTTGCTCAACATACATACTGAATAGGTGGTGATGAATATGTCAACATAGACAAGAGAACACTCATAGAATATCAAGAAAGTGAAACCTGGAAGTAAATCTGGTCACTGTAGATCAATAACAACTTTCACTATATAAATTTTTGATGATACTTATTAAGTGTTTAAGATCATCAAGAAATTCTACTTGTCAGTTCATTGTGTCCCACCTAGCATCTTTGTATGAAGTCTTTCCCAGTGTATCCTCATTCTCTGCAATACATTGCATTCAGGCCAGTGCTAGTAGGAATCAAAGAACTTCCCTCTATTTTTCTTTTATGTCATAGTTCTCTTCGTATTTTCAGAAATTAGAGCAATGAATTCATCGTTACCCTCGCATCTCTTCCCCTTCATTCCTTCATCAGAGTGGACTTTCTCATGCGCCGAAGGGTCTTCCTTCATTCTCTCTAGTCAGGCTCTGTAAAACTCACCCTCATTTCTGGCTCATAATGATGTTTTTAAACCTCAAGTTCCAAAGTCCACTTCTTCTTGGTCTTGAACAGTGAGAACTACAGAGAGAATCACCTCTGGGAGGCAATATATTAAGTTTTATTTCTTCACAGTTCATTCTTCTATATTTTGTCTCTTTCCTTAAGATTTAAAAATAGTCCAAAGTGATAAAATCTTTTTCTTACCTACAGCATAACTTCTGATCTTTCCGGATTGTCTCTTACATTTACTCGTTAAAGTGGCCTTTGTAGAAACATGTCACATAACATGAAAAAGAAATGAAGAACTATTGAAACTCTGGCCAGTTGGGAAAATTATTATTGTTATTACCAAAATTGTTGTTGTTGTTATGTGCCATTGAGTCACTTGCGACTCATAGCGACCCTATGTATTTTAGAAAAGAATTTTA